TCTCTCTCTCTCTCTCTCTCTCTCTCTCTCTCTCTCCCTCCTCTCCCCCCCCCCTCTCTCTGATCCTGACTGAGGAAGTTCTGAGATATGAGTATGTTACAGAAAGAAGTGGCTGGGATGCCTATAGTTTAATACTGTGTCTATACTGCCTTTTCTCATCCAGCCTGCACCTACAGATTCTATTTTCAACTGACTGAAGAAGAGAAAACCACGGCCTTTTTCACAGATCAGTCTGTATAATAAGTAGGCATAGCCCAAAAGTGGACAGTTACAGCCCCGTATCCTATTTCTTGGACATCCTTGAAGAACAGTAGAAAAGAAAGATCTCAGTGAGCAGAAATTAAGGTAGTTGATTCACTTGGTTGTAAACTTTGATTTAAAGGAAAAATTTTATGTATGATTATTCACTGATTTGTGTGTGCTAGCTAATGGTTTGGCTGGATAGTCAGGGATTTGGAAGGGGCGTGATTGGAGAACTGATAAAGAAATTTGAAGAAGGTGGATAGACCTTTGTAAGGGCACAGGGTATGATGATTTTTGTTTCTCCCATGTCTGAGATAGAATCACACTTTTTTTTAAAAATCATGATTACCAAGTGAAATTTCTGCATCAGACTATGACGTACAATTGAGCAAGCAGGCCAGCATCTCAAATAGGCTCTTCCAAGCAAAATAGAATGGAACAAAATTACCCAAAATTGAAGGGTCTGAGAATCAAGAAGAAGAAATGGGGACGCCACCACTCATCCTTGCCCCCTAGTTAACTTTCTATTTCTGTTTCGTGATTTAATGATATATAGGCCTTAGTTCCACAGGGAGCAATGCTTCCACCAGGTAATCAAAAAATAATTGAGTTGAGTTGGAAACTAAGACCCCTTTTCAGTCACTTGGAACTCCTGAGTTAAAAGACTAAGGAGTAACAATGTCGATGAGAGTGATGGTCCCTGACTACCAGATAGTGCTGGAGGTCTTGCTCCAGACAAGTACAATGACCTTGGATGGATGTGTGAAGAAGAGACTGTGACCATGTGTTATTCAAACAAGTGGCCCGGGATAGCCTGGGCTGTAGCTGGAGTTTTCTCCAGTTCTGCCCATCCCCACAGACCCCACAACAGTTTATAAAATAATCACTCAGAAGCTCATATTAATTAAACTGCTCAGCCATTAGCTCAGGCGTACCACTGACTAGCTCTTACACTTAAACTCAGTCCATTTCTGTTACTCTGTATGTCGCCACGTGTTCTGTGGCTTTACCTGCTGCCTTTACATGCTGTTCCCTGGATGGCAGGCTGGTGTCTCCTCTCCTCAGCCTTCCACTTCCCAGACTTCTCCTCTCTCTTTGTCCCGCCTATACTTCCTGCCTGTCTACTGGCCAATCAGTGTTTTATTTATCAATCAACCATCCACAGCACTGGCCTGTTTTTATTTATATAATTTCGATGGTTTGCATGAACAGCTTTACAATCAGTTTTGCTTCCTTAAGTTTATAAAAATGGTTACAATAATTACCAGTTTGTTCCTTGCCTCTTTCCCTTTTCATTCGCCAACTTTCCCATCGGTAGGCATTGCCTTTTTGATCTGTATTCCTACTGTTAGAAGCATAAGCAGTGTTGCAAGCTACAAAGGAAGTTTTCGAACTATGTACACATACAGGTAGAGCAGTGTGTCCATTTGGCCGCATATGCAGTTACAGAGTCATGCAGAGGACAGACAATTTTGTCTCTTGTGGTTAATATTTATATCTGGTAGGGTCTGTGTTCTCATGATCAATTCACCAGCCAAAGCTGGATCAATCCATTCTACATTCTGTACTACTCCATCTCCTCTGGGGATATACCAGATTTTCCCATTTAGCCTATAGGCAACATAACTTGAAAACTTACTCTTAATAGTTGGCACTGTTTATCCCATGTTCTTGTGTCCTTCTCTCTTAAGTTCTTGGGGTATTGGCACAGTTGTTAGAAATGAGGAAACTGTGGGTTTCTATAATTCTACTTCATTCCCTGTCTTTAGACTGTGCCCATTAACTCCTGATACAATCTATTTAATAAAAATTCTGAAAGACTCTTTTGGTTAAAAATCATTCTTTGCAGAACAGTTATGCAAATATGTAATATTAAACTTCATGGCCTACTGTAACTCGTTCAGGCCAGCAGTATGGCTGGCATGGTGAAATCAAGGAGAGCAGGTAGCACATATTTTCCTGGGGTCATGCCCAGAATTATGCAGTGAACTGTCCATAAGTCCTTGCCAGGTGGGTCAGGGTCTCCAGGATCTTGCCACAGGAGAGTCATTTGTGCTATCCTCTGGCTTTGTTCCCCAAAGAAGTTGCATGGCTCCTGCCAAGGTTGATCTTGGCCTATGGATCCACCACTGAGACAAGGAAGAGTAAGTACATCTGGAATACAGTGTTACCCAGTCCTGTGACTGATACAATGAGCAGCTATTTTAGTACAATCTAGGCCAGGCATCAAGTGGCCAAGGCACTTTAGCAGGGAAGCCTTCCAGGTAGATAACATGACAATAAGCTGAGGTCCTTGCTGAAAGCAAAGGGAGTGCAGGATGGACCACAGATGTCAGTAATAAATACCAGCTCCAATTACATGGTGAATGTAGAAACAAGTGCTGAATTGCTGTAGTTCCCCCTTATTTTGCTGAGATGTGAATATCCACAGAGCAAACAACTATGTATTTTTTCCTCTCATACCCTTCTCATTAAGCATCAGATATATTAAATTTAGAATTAAAGATGTAGGCTATTTGGAGAACAATCACATCTCTTGGGGCATTATGCCCTCTTCTAGAAAAAGGATTAGTGTGGTTTTGGTTGTACACAGGAAAGTTTATCTGTTAGTTACAGCTATGGGTTTTTTTTTTTTATATATTTTTAATTGTAAATTAAGTATGTGTGTGCCACCTTGACAAACAATAGACTTTTGGTGGCCAATTTCAAACATCAGCGTGGCTGTGTTAATAGTAGGTAGCTGATAAAGCATTATTTCTAGGGGTAGTTATAAAGATATTTCTGGAAGAGATAGACGTTGAAATTGGGAGACCCAGGACAGATTATTAGCCTTTATTCAATGAAGGGGGGCATGGTCCAGTGGGCTAAGGTTCTGGATAGAACAAAACAGCAAAGGGAAGGCAAGTTCTCTGCTCTGCTCAGGAGCTGGGGTACCCATCTTCTCTTGCCCTTTCATGTCAGAATTTCTCTAGCTTTGGAGTCCATGACTTATATTGGTGTCCCCCAGGTTATGAGACCTCTTGACTTGAACTGAGACTCACTAATGACATTTCTGATGTGCAGACACCTGATATCCAGATACTCTGCTGTGGGACTTCAGTTTCTTTCCTCATGTAAGCCAATTCCCTTAATAAATTTTCTGTATGCATTTATTTTATTTTATTTATTTTTTTTTTTAGAAAACACTGCCTAGAGCCGGGCGGTGGTGGCACACGCCTTTAATCCCAGCACTCGGGAGGCAGAGGCAGGCGGATCTCTGTGAGTTCGAGGCCAGCCTGGGCTACCAAGTGAGTTCCAGGAAAGGCGCAAAGCTACACAGAGAAACCCTGTCTTGAAAAACCAAAAAAAAAAAAAAAAAAGAAAACACTGCCTAACACACACTGTTACTGGGCTATCATCATAGCATTTCAAAGCATGAACTCCAGAGTTAGGTGTCTCTTTAAATTCTGGCTTTGCTGCTGAAGCGATACGCTGCTTCTCATTTGTAAAATGGGGACTCATCTTCACCATTCGTCAGGGTGGATATGGAAATTTGGAAATGGTGGATTCATTGGTGCGTTTGTGGCTTTGTTTCATATTTACTACTTGAAATTTGCTTTCTTTCAGAAGGGGACAGAGATTTGGTCCTTACTCCTAGGGACATACACCCTACAGTTCCTATGTAGGAAGGAGTACCAAGTCCACCTGATGTGTGGAAAGCTTACTGTAGTTGTAACTTTTAGTGGGAACAGGGCAATTATTTCTTCAGATCAAATTCTAAAGCAATAGCAATTTTCAATATTCTTAATCCAGCTTCAGGAAACAGTAAAGATCATGTTTCTGGCTTGAGCAGCAACGTAGGAAACAACCCAAATCCCAGCTCTTAAAAGGGAAACACCTAAGTACTGTAGTTTATGAAAATAAGACTGTCTCAAGGATATTTCACCCTAACAGAGATAAACTTAAGGGCTGCTGTTTAGGCCATTCCAAAATATTACCACATTGGTAAAAGATTTAGAACATGCAAAAGTCCATGCCTATTGCCACCAGAATACATTTTTAAGTGTACTGATCCATTATTACATGACGCTTGAGAGCCTCCCTGTTTGACGAAGGGCAGCAATCTTCTTGGTACCAGGAAAAGCATCTACAACTTTCTTAACAGCTTCACTCATCTGGCTATAGAGCCTTCCTCATTTAAGTCGAAAAAGGGCAGAGAAAACGCTGAGAGGCAGTTTGATCTAACTCAACCTTTTCAAACGACTACACTAATTTTAAACATATGAATTTAACTGTATGTTTGCCCCTCTATAAACAGGGCGAACAAACAGTATATCATTTTTACACTTGAACTGTATTATGATTTTAATGCAGCTCAGGTGAGGTGAGGTCAGGAGATACAATTAAATAGATCTGGTACCAGCTGGAGATTAGGTTCTCTTTAACCATGCTTGGGTGATTTATCCATCAACAACTCATGTACTGCTCCATAAAAATTGATATCTGTTTAAAAATAGGTATTAAAATACAGTGTACTTTTAAAATTAGAGACTAAAATATTGTGTAGTTGCCAGCAGGTAGTTTATTTAATATTCATGTGCAATATGAAACAGAGAGAGTCTTGTTCCTAGAGTAAAAATCTATTAGAATAAATTTATCCTACTTTCTGATGTGCACAGAGCTCCTGTGCTTGGTTAGGCCCTTGGAAACAAATGTAGAAACAAACTTTTAAATCATTTACAAACCCCTGGCATGGTGGAACGGGGTCATATAATTACCTTATTCGTTAAACAGCTCTATCTGCTCGTTGGTGATTTATTTCAATGCGGTTCTTTCATGAAAGGCTGTCTACAAACAAAAACAGGAGAAAAGGGAAGCAGAAACGCCAAGTAAATGGGCTTATTAAGGGAAATACAAAATCCTGTTGTTTTGATATGTTCTACTGTTGACCTGAATAGTAGTTGTCAATCTTATGGTTGAATTTGGTTCCTATTTGATATAAATTCAAATATTTAGATTTGCCACATTCAAAGCCAACTTGCAACTCTAAAGGGCAACCGTTTGTCTACTAATATGCATATCAAAAAGTTAAACAAATGAACATTTAAAAATAATATTTGATTAACCATTCACTGAAAGAAAAGTAATTCTGCCTGTCTCATTCAGTAATTTATATAGTGTAGTGATCTGCTTGTCAATAATGAACAAATTGCCCTAATATATTACTATAATGCTTCATATTCATTAAGACATCTGCCAACTTTTCAAAAAACCTTTTCCATTTGAGACTTGACTTATAATTGTAGAGTCCCTTGGGGGAGTTTCAATATTATTCTAATCAATTTTATCCACAATTGCAATATGGATGATTACATAGCAATGTAATTTCCAAAGTTACCTCCTCACATTAGTCATCTGCACAGAGAGGAGACAATGCCAACATCTCCAGAATGTGTTTTAGAAAAGAAGCCCTACAGCTATGGAGCAGAGTATTTTTCATCATTCAAATGCATCACAACATGAATATGTATATGTACAGATACGCTTATATAATTTACAACCACACTTCAAAACTTTATGGTCTATAACATTTATATGTTATTTTTATGCAATAAAATGATAATGGATTTTATAACCATAAGAAACAAAAGTTGGAAAGTCTTCCAAGATGGACTTCCTGCACATAGATGGTAGAGGTAATGCCATAGTCAGTGTTCTTTCATTTTTTCTGTTATTATTTTAAATAATAAGAGTTAAATGGTAGTTCAATGGAATGATGGAAAAATAAAGGTGTCTCAGCTTCACTCCAAAGGGGACTAACATTCAGCTAGCTTCTACTTGTTCATTTGTGTGTGACAGGGTCTTGCTATGTTGCCCAGACTGGCTTCGAACTTGTGTTCCTCCTGCTTCAGCCTCCTGAGTGTTGGGATTATAGCATATGCCAAATTGCCCAACCAAGCTTCTATTATCAACAAGGATAAAGTCTTGGCTCTCATCTCTTCTATTTATCTCAGTTTAAACCTTTTTTTGATAGAGGTGGTGAAGGGATCTGCTCCTGATGGTGGACCTCCATACCCTCTTTGTCATGGTCTTCCATCTGCTGTCCTATGTCAGGCAAGCTTGCCATCAATTCAGCAGTGAGTATTCAATGACATTGATGAAGACTCAAATAGATGTTTGCAATGCATTGGAGGGTAAAGAAAAGAGTTGAAATAAACTGATGGGAAATGGATTGAGACAGCATCTAAGAAGGCCAGTGACCATCAGTTGCCTCTTTTCATCAGGTTTTCCACTCTCCCAGTTTATTTTTCCCTATATAATAAATAGTAAAAATGAATCCCAATTCTTAGGATTCCACACTCAGGGTTCTTCCTGATTTTCACAACATTTATTTATTACTTTAACCAACATTTTTAATTAGTTAAAAAAATACCTTAACCTTAGAACCTTGGTTTAAATAAGTAAACTTAACATCACTGGCTCCTAGTCAACCAAAACAGGTACCAATTCATCATTAAATTAAATAAATGTGTTACAAACATTTATTAAGGTATAACATTAAAATAATTATGTTGTTTATATGTAAGAATATTCATTATGTTAAAACTTTCAGTTTTGTTTAAATTAAGTGTTATCAAAATAATTTGACAAAAATATTAACAAGCTTCAGCTGAGATTGAAAAATCAGGATTTTTAAAAAATAAATTAGAATAATAGGAAAAGTGACATAAGCAAATATATAGACCAAATTTTAGAGATAGTAATGGGAAAAAACACATTCAGATATGATAAATAGATACATTTGATTGGAATTCAGAGGTTATGGAAGACAGAAGAGAAAGGATTAGGTTATAAGAATATGGTAGAATGGTGAAAATCTCATTATAAATTACACGACTGTCTCTGATCCAGCAAGATGGCTTAACACAATAAGATACTTGGCGCACAGGCCTGGTGACCTGAGTTTCAACCCCCAAACATGCATAAGGGTGGAGGGAGAGAACAGACTCCACAAAGATGTCCTCTGATCCCCTTGGTCATCGCACACATGCTGTCCTTTACATTATACACACATATATAATATGTTTATATTATAATAATATAAAGAATAACAATAACAAATAAAAATAAATATGGGGCTGTCTTCCAAACAGCATCAGTATAATGGTTCTGAGCTAGAGAAATAAAACTCAGAAGGACCCTCTGAGATAAAAGTGGTAGAGAGTCTATAATGGATGGAAGGGGAAGAGAATCTGGCAAGAAAAGTAAGAAAGCTACGGACATGATCTATGTGTTTTAAATGGTAAGTGCCCAGAACAAAATCACATAATTTATAAATGAAGACTTTAGAATAAGTTTTGCAGCAGTTTTCATGTTTTTATAAAACTACCAGATGGAGGGTAGGGGGTAGGGGATGAGAACATAAGGGAATGGGGTGGTCGAGCTGGAACAGGGATGGAGTGGGAGAGCAATGAAAGAGACACCATGATAGAGGGAACATCATGGGAATAGGGAGAAACCGGGTGCTAGGGAAGTTCCCAAAAATCCACAAGGATGACCACAGCTTAGACTACTAGTAACAATGGAGTGCCTGAACTAGCCTACCATGGTAATCAGATTAGTGAACACCCTAACTGTCATCCCAGAGCCTTCATCCAGTAACTGATAGAAGCAGATGCAGAGACCCACAGCCAAGAACCAGGCTGAGTTCCAGGAGTCCAGCTGAAGAGAGAGAGAAGAGGGCATCAAGACCATGATGGGAAAATGTACAGAGACAACCAAAACAAACTAGTGGGACCTCATGAACTGTCCATCAATAGCTGTGGAGCCTCCATGGGACTGGACTAGGTCCTCTGTATAGGCAAGAGAGGTATGGAGCTTGATCTGCTTAAGGGGCACCCTGGCAGTGGGATCAGGACCTATCCCTGGGACATGAGTGGGCTTTTTGGAGCCCAATGTCTATGGTGGGACACGTTACACAGCCTTGGAACAGGGGAAGGTGCTTGGACCTGCCTCAACTGAGTGCATCAGGCTCTGCTGACTCCCGACGGGAGGCCTTGCCCTGGAAGAGGTGGGAATGGTGGTTGGGATGGAGAGAAAGACTGGGGGGTGGGGTGGGAGGAAGGATGGGAGGGGATCTTTGGTATGAATAGAAAATTTCTTAATAATAAAAAATAAAACTATAAGCTTCAGTAAGAGGTCTCAGTCTCTTTATCATATACATGTGTACACATTTTCTCTCCCACAAAAAAAGGGTTTGGCAAAACATTTATCCTTGTTATTTATGGTATTTGACATCTTTTTAGTATATTCTTTTTAAATTATAGAAAATGCTGGTGGAAAGACCATTCTATGTATCTTAAGATTTTTCTGACCTGCTGCAACCTTTTGCTGATAACACACAGATCTGGTGCTGCCTTTATTCTTTGGAAGGTAAAAGTCAAGCTCAGAGGCTGTTCTGATTTCACTGCTAGAGACCAGAAACCAGGCTTATGGACTTGAATTACACCACACAATAGGTAGGGTGTTCTGTAGAAGAAAGGGACCACCAGGAATAGAACGGAGAAGGGCTTTAGGTGAAAAGTAAGTAATACAAAACTCACTAACCCTGAAAACTTAAAGTCAGCCAAGGCCTTGTCCCCATGTAATTGGGTGAATGCATTTGCCATGGGATTCAAAGAATCTGTCTTGGGAGAGGAATTCAGGTCACACTGAGTTTAGGAAGCAGAAAGACCGTTGAACTGCACATTGGGTAGCTGCAAGAGTCAGTATCCACATGAAGAAATTTACGGATTATCTCCTGTGGAAACATTACATTGTGTTCGATGTAATAAATGTGTGGAATGTAACTTGAATTCTAAACATGAGTAACAAGGTGTTCAGAAATAATTCCAAGAGGAGTAAAAATCAAGTTTTGTACATGAGACACTCTTGTTCAAAATTTTATTGGTGGTGCTTGACATTAAACTATTATTATTGCTAAATAGTCAATAAAATGGATTTTAAAGAACTTCACAGTTATTAATCTCATATTTGATCCACCACTTCTGCACTGGCTTTTATGCTGACCTACACGTTTTCATCGGTAACCCATGTGTGCATGAGTCTGTGTCTGTGTGGAGCGTTCACTGGACATAGACCAATATTCCCTTTTGTTTTTCCTTCACTAGAACTCTTTAAAGTAGCAGGTTGCCTCTCACCAGATTACCTCAGGAAAGCAGCAGCTTCTGACAGGGAAGTGAGCAGCTGTGTGGCAGCTTACGGCAACTCTGTTATTTTGCACTGATCTAGCATTTTAATATAAATGGCTTAAATACAACCTGAAAATAGTCATTCATCTCCAGCAAGCTCCACAAAGCTGGTTAGCATTTAAGCTGCTCTATTTATGGGCTGCTTCGATTTAGGTGTTTTCCTTCCGGTTATGATAATTGGGGTGACTTTCATACTGTCATTTGTTGGGGATGAACAAGCTGAGGCTCAAGTATTATGGCAGTGGAGAGAAGTATGCAGTCCAGGAGTCCTTACGGTTTATGCTTTTGGGGATGCTTCCTGTGGCTCCCAGTGAGCTTTGATCATGTTTGTTTGTGGGTGTTTCATCTGCACTGTGGCTGTGCACCATGTGCCTGCCATGAATGCCCTTTGAGGTCAGAAGAGGGCATCAGATCCTGCTGGATCTGGAGTTGCAGATGGTTTTGAGCCAGCATGTGGGTGCTGGAAGTCAAACCTAGGTCCTCTGGAAGAGAAGCTAGTGCGCTTAGCAGCTGAACCATCATTCCAGGCCCGCCTTAGTTTCATGTGTATGGAAAGTAAGTCAGTGAAAATGACAGGCGGGTTATCATGGAATCAGA